GTCATTGCCTTCTGAGGTACAGCTCATTTGAATGTTTTTATATTTATGGTAAATGGTGAAGTTCAGTGGTGATAATCATGTGGGGGACACATTACTCCAGAACCCGAGAACCTCAAAAGCTTAATGGGCTCAGGTTTCCCTGCTTTTTATCTCTGAGAGGCTTTGAAGTAACAAAGTCACACTACTCACCGGGGCTCTGCTATTTTTGGAACAGTAAAATAATCATTTCTGAGGTTATGTGCTTAAGCATAACAAGGGCTATATTTCACCTTGGCTGTTTGGTTTGATGACCCACTGAAGCCTGCTTGATTAGGGTTGTGTCTCACTCGAATGATATTAAATACTTAAATGTCCTGCAGGCAAACACTGAGGCAGCTGGGTTGCTAAGTTTAGCATGTTAATTTTAAAGGTGTCAACTCACCAGCAGCAGAGAAAGAGAAACACAGAATCCACTAATGAGGGAGGCTGGAAGCACCTCAGTCAAAGTGTGAATTTAATCTTTTTACAGATGCAAGAAGAAGAAGACTTCATTATATTTCACTGCCTTCAGCTCCCCACACAAATAAAGCTGCTTCGGTTAAAGACATAAATGCTTCTGCCTGAAAGTAAACCAGCCAAACATGGTGCTTACTCTTCCAGTGGGAGTTAGAAAAGCTTCCAAAATTCAGAACACTTGTAGAATCATCATCTTTAAGAGTAAAACCTCATTATCAGGGATGTACCAACTGTGCTACTGTGTATAGACTTATCTATATAACAGCAGGAATTAGTACAATGCAAAAATGGAATAAATGCCTCCATGAGGCTGAATTCGAGTCAGTCTAAGTGGCCACTCCGCTGGCTTTGCATTGGTTGAGCAGAGGCCAGCTAGACACTGATCCTCTGGAAAAGACGATAAGCTGCTCCTTAGCCGGGTCACTGCAGCCCACATGGCACCATATGTGACTGCTCATGCATTTCTAAATAATACCAGAGAACTGCATATGTGCCTCATCACTCCACATTGCTGCAGCTGAGCTGCCATACATCTGCAGGGACTTACATTGAGAGAGACTGTGAAACATGCAGATTGAGTTTGTGATGATAGATGATACGTTTTTATCTGCAGGGGCAATTCCTGGATTTTCTAAAAGCAGCTCATAAAGAACCTGTTGAGAATGTTCGCTGGAAATCAGACATTTCTGCCAGAAATTCATAACAAACTACTTACGTTGATTAGAATTCACCAAACTATGAAGATTTGATTTTTACACAAATCCCCAGTTTCCCTGTATGAAGCTAACAATCTGTTAACCATAAACATATTTTATTCTGTTCAGTGCTGGACAGTCACAGTCTAAAAGTTTAAATTCACCTTTGCAAAGTAAAGGAGTACAGGAGAACCAGATTTCTGTGAGTTATATGATGG